AGGGAGACACTGCCAGCTGCCACCATGACAAGGAGCATGTGAAGACACCGGTAAGCCACAAGCCACGTGGCAAGGTATAGATTTATGGAAATGGATTAATTTAAGCTATAAGAACAGTTAGCAAGAAGCCTACCACGGCCATACAGTTTGTAACCAATATAAGTCTCTGTGTTTACTTGGTTGGGTCTGAGCGGCTGTGGGACTGGCGGGTGACAGAGTTTTCTGACTGTGGGCAAGGCAGGAAAACTCTAAATACAGCGCACGCCTTTAATCCCAGCACTCAGGAGGCAGCCTGGCCTAAAGAGTAAGTTGCAGGACAGCCAGGGCTACACAGAAAAACTGTCTCAAAAAACCATAAATAGGGGCTGGAGAGATGGCTCAGTGGTTAAGAGCACTGGCTGCTCTTCCAGAGGTCCTGAGTTCAATTCCCAGCAACCACATGGTGGCTCACAACCATCTGTAATGAGATCTGGTGCCCTCTTCTGGCCTGTAGGTATTCAAGCAGGCAGAACACTGTATACATAATAAATAAATAAATCTTTAAAAAAAAAAAAAAAAAAAAAAAAAAAAAAAAAAAAAACCATAAATAAGTAAATAGATAAAGTTTATGTTTGTTAACAGGCACTCAACTATGGTAGCCCACGTACTGAAACACTCAGTGAGGCTACTCCTTGTGTCTCGATACGGAAACACATCTAAAATGTGGTGAAGAAAGCCAATCTTAAAAACCACCCAAAGGGAGCATGCACACTGTATGAAATGATAAAGAACTAAGTTCCAAGTTTCAGGTATACTGGCTCTGCTTTCTAGATGACACTGTTAGGAACTTTTGCCAATTTTCCCTGATAAACTTTCAATGTGAGAATTTAATTTATGGAAAACAAACAGATAAAAACAGTATCTCCTGCCCAGCTTAGAGTACTAGATCGAGCATACGTGTTTCCCCAGCTCAACCACACAACTAGACCTGCACAACACCTATAAGGTTACCTAATCACACAACTAGACCTGCACAACACCTATAAGGTTACCTAACTCCCAGCACAGTGGAAATGGCTGTCACAACTAACCTCCCAAGCTACAGAACGAAACAGGTGTGAAACCCACTCTTGCTCCTGGGCTCCAAACCATGTGCAAACAACCAATAACTGGAACCTAAAAGCGTACGGCAAACCGAGAAAGGCGTGCAAGCCCTCCTGCACACACCGGAATCCAGTGCTCACAGGGAGAAGGCGCATCATGGTATTCAGAGGTAATACACAGGTTCACTCACAAGCACAAGCTCTTCCTCTCAGGCTTTGTTTGTCCCCATCGAGACATGTGGCTACAGAGCATGCCAGACCCAGGTCCCAGTCCTAGCTTTGCAGATCTCTAAAGAGGTAACTGCCAAACCACCTATAAAGCAAAACTCATCACCACCCAACTATCTAATGTCAGTAAATAGAAAATGTCTAGCCAGGCATGTGGCACACGACTTTAGTCCCAGCACAGAAGCAGGCTGATCCTGTGAGTTCAAGGACAGCCTCATCTACCCAGAGAGTTCCAGGACAGCCAGGGATACACAGATACTCCGTCTTGTTGGGGGAAAAAGAGGGAAGGAAGGAAGGAAGGAAGGGAGGGAAGGGGGAGGGGGAGAAAGGGAGGGAGGGAGGAAGGGGAAGAGGAAGGGAAGGGGAAAGAGGAATGGAAGGAAATGGAAGGAAAGGAAAGGAAAGGAAAGGAAAGGAAAGGAAAGGAGGAAGAAGACAGTCTGAAACAGTAGGGTGGAGAAGAAATTGTTCAAGGAAGTTTACCTTCCCATAACCTTTCAGCACAAAGACCCAAAGGACCCACAGGGACTGTGCTCTGGAGGCAGGAGCAGTGCCCTGGCAGCCAGCTCCATGACCATGGCACACTGCCCCAAGTGCCTGGGTTCTAGTTTTACAGAACTCCACAGCATCCGGACAATCCATTCCTTCAGTACCACATCATGCCTACACTATACTGAGAAGGTGCTAAGACTGTACACGTGAACACTTACTTTTTGTACTGTTCAGTCCTGACCATCTTTCACTACGGTTGAGCTACTGGTCATAAAGGTATGTAAGACTAACTGTGTCCAAGGTCAGCCTGCAATCAGAATGCAAATCAGATCTGCCTTACTCGGAAGACCAAACTGTGGCGGGCCTTCCTGACAGCTTCCTGGCAGCTTAGAGATGCAAAAGAGCCAAGGTGTCAGGAATACAGAGAAACAAGGTCCAGTTACCTGGGCCAGGAGCAGCTTCTAACACAGGACTCTAACCAAGTTAATCAGACTTTTCAACTATTTGAAAAGAGACTGGAGAAACAAGAGGGACGGAGAGTTATAATCAGTAAAATAACTGCTAGCTCTTTATTCTGTAACAGCACAATAGGCAAGCACAGAAATAATTAAGAACACAGACAACAATAAGTTACCTGCAGTAGTGAGCTTAAGAGTAGCTTAACACAAAGTTTAAAAAGCCTGCTTTTGAAAAGGAGTACATGCAGGGCGGGCGAGACGGCGCAGTGGTGCACCAGGCCTGAAGACCCAGGTCCAACCCCTGCAACCTACATGGTGAGAAGAGAACCAACCTCTAAAAGTTGGCCTCTGACCCACACATTCACACCACAGCCCTTGCACTCGAGCAGCGCGCGCACACACACACAAGCAAATGTTCATACACACACACTGCATGTTCAACCTAGACAATCTGCAGTATTGAATATCCGCTAAGTATGTGACCATCCACACACATTCACTCACCAAATGACAGTGTGATTCACCCTAATATCAAAATAAAATCCCATGTCTTTTTTTTTTTTTTTTTTAGGTTTTCCGAGACAGGGTTTCTCTGTGTAGCTTTGCGCCTTTCCTGGAACTCACTTGGTAACCCAGGCTGGCCTCGAACTCACAAAGATCCGCCTGCCTCTGCCTCCCGAGTACTGGGATTAAAGGTGTGCGCCACCGCCCGGCAAAATCCCATGTCTTACACAGGACAGGTGGCCTGGGATATGTAACGTCTAAAAACAAACCAAACAGGTGATTAGCTAGCTAAGCATGATGGCACAGGATCAGTAATCCTATCATTCTGGAGGCTGAGGCAGGAGGATTACTGCAAGTTCAAGACTAGCTTAGGCTACATAGTGAGACTCGATTCAAAACCCTCTGAAACCGAGGGTGGTGTCCAATGCCTCTAACCCCAGCACTAGGGAGGCAGATTTCTGAGTTCAGCCAGTTTGGTCTACAGAGTGAGCCCCAGGACAGTCAGGGCCACTCAGAGAAAAACCAAAACAACAAAATGAGAGCGGGGGGGAAAAAAAAGAACTCTTTTAAATGATTAATAAAATAATTTCCTCCTTCCATCAGAAAGCACGTTATGAAACACATTCACACGGCTTCCCCAACAGGCACTGAAATCCCAACTGCATACAAGAGCTGGGTTAGCCCCTTGCTGTTTCTATTAACCAATTAACGTAAGATTAAAAACTAGTTCTGCCTGGAGCATGCCTTTAATCCCAGCACTTGGGGAGGCAGAGGCTGGCAGATCTCTAGGCCTTCGGGCCAGCCTGGTCTACAGAATGAGTTCCAGGACAGCTAGGATTGTTACACAGAGAAACTCTGTCTTGAAAAAAACAAAACAAAACACCTAGTTCTGAACAGTCCCTAAATAGAAATCAACACAAGAACCTGAGCACATCTGCCCACACCACGGTCAAGTGCTTACAAAACAAAAAAAATTTCCTAAGACACACAACAGAAAATGGAGCAAGAGGTGACAGTCACTTACCTCTGGTCCTACTCAAGAAGAAGTCATTTCAAGTCCTTTCCAAACACCAGGGAGCCTCCAAAACAACACACCCAACCCACCCAATCTGGAACTGTCATTCAGCAAGGTGACCTAGGCAGACCTCTAATTTGTGTTAGATCCGTGCAGACTCAACTGGATGGTGCACAGCACAAAAGATCAGATGAGTGGAAAACCACAGAAAATAACGCGCCTGAAATCAAGCGCTGGGTAGAGAACTTTGTAATACGACCTCGAGGGGCTTCTGCAACTAAATGTTAGTATGAGAGCGTTCTTAATGCTACTCCATGCTCACTTGCTTGGCTTGGTGTTGCAAGCATTTTAATCCCAGCACTCTCGAGGAAGAGACAAGCAGGTCTCTGTGAATTCGAGGCCAGCCTGGTCTACATGGAAAGTTCCAGCCAAGGCAACACAGGGAGACTCTGTCTCAAAACAAACAACAACAACAAAAAAGACCACGATTTGCTGAAGCCCTCTACCCGGCGGGTTTCTACCAGGCTGTGCCCTCTCTGCACCACCCCCACCCCCACCACACCACACAACACATCAGATGGGAAAGTGTGGCACTCAGTCCACCAAGCCAGAATCACCCAAACGGCAGGTGTAATTAGTCTTTCGACATAACTGCGCTAACTCTATTCGGCTGAGGACCTGATAACTCGCCAGCCGGTAGTGCAGAATGTAACGTAGTCGGCCCGCACGCTGAAAGAAATGCGCCTCGAACACTAACCAGGCGAGAGAAAGGCTCCCGGTCGCCCTGCTCTACCCAAGCGAGCGTGTGGTTGGCAGGACCAAGAGTAAACAGGGAAAATTCATTCAACAATGTCCTGATGACCTAGCGTGCAGACGGGCATAGGAGGCAAGTGAAGACGCTGCGGAGCAAGGAAGAGCAGAGTTCACAAACAGGCAGGTAATGATTACCAGCTCCGGCCGCCGGCCCACACTGAGGCCTCCTCGGTGCAGTTGGGGAGCGGTGCCCGGCAGGCGCCGGTCCTTTCCAGCAGGCCCGGGGAGCTGCTAAGACCCGGGCCTGGCGCCCCAGCACCCTTCCACATGGTTCCCGGAGGGCGACTCACCCAGCAGCCCAGAAGCCATGTGGCGGGGTGGGGTTGGGGGAGCCGCCCGAACCCCGTGCGCGTCCGAGGCGCGCAACCCGGGAGGAGGTCCCCGAAGAGACGCAAAGGGTGGGATGTGGGGGGTACAAGACTCACTTCCTTTGGGCTTTGTCCTTCTTGGCCTTGGTCCTTTTCTTTCGGGCCTGGAGCGCGAGCACTGCGGGAGAGAAGAAGGATGGATGAAGGGCCGAGGTAAGAGGGAGGTGGGGAATGGCGCGAGAACGCGGGGCCACAGGGCCTGCGGCTGCGGGCCGAGCGCGGGGCCGGCTGCCCGGGCTGCACGGCGGCTGCCAGTGGGCTCGGCGCGCCCGCAGGGGCTCGGGCCGACCATGAGGCCTCGCCGCCCGGGCCTGGGGGCTGCGGAGCGAGGGGCGGGGACGGGGGGCGCCCGAGGACGCCGCGGCCAAGGGGCCGGCGGCGAGGGCGAAGCCGCTTCTGCGGGCCGCGACAGCGGCTAGGAGGGGCGCCCGGCGCCCACTCGGGAGCCGCCGTCGTTCCTCGTGGCGGAGGCCGCTCCGCCGCTCACCTTTCCGCTCCATGGCGAGACCGGTAACCGCCAGGCGCCTGCGCACTTGAGTGACGGCGACTCCGGCTCCCGCCGCGGCCCAAATCCCGGCTCTTCCTCCCGGCGCGCGCAGGCCCCGCCTCCGGGCCCGCCCGGCCACGCCCCCGTATGGCGCCCCGCGCGCATGCGCGGTGGGCACGGAACCTACCACCTGCTCCAGGGAGGGCCCGAGAGAGGCGTGCAGAGGACCAAGGAAGGAACCCTGAGCGGAAAGCTGGTTCCTATGGGTCTGGTTTTAGTGGCCGGCGTTGAAAGTTCTGGCCTCCTGAGGAAGGTCAAAGTCCCGCAGTCAGCCGAGAATTCCCTCAGGTTCCTGGCATGCAAAACGGATTAAGCGAACGTGTCCCAGTTCCTTCCTGAGCTATTTGTAAGGGCCAATTAAGACACTGAAGAAAATGGGAAAAATGTAATTGTACGTGGATTCACACAGAACAAAGTCGGGAGGGAGAAAACATGTGCCCCTATCATGATTTAAAAATAAAACCTGAGGGCGGAGGTGGCGCGCGCCTTTAATCCCAGCCCTGGGGAGGCAGAGGCAGGCAGATCTCTGTGAGTTCAAGGTCTACAAAGTGAGTTCCAGGAAAGGCGCAAAGCTACACAAAGAAACCCTGTCTCGAAAAACCAAAATAAATAAATAAATTAATTAATTAAAAAAATAAATAAAACCTGAGTCCGCAGCCCATGCCTTTAATCCCAGCTCTCCAGAATCAGGTGGATCTCTATGAGTTCGTGGCCCAGTCGGGTCTAAATAGCAAGTTCTAGGCCAGCCAAGGCTATATATATAATGAGTCCCTGTCTCAAAATAAATCAATAAAAACTGCCAGCAAGATGGCTCAGCAGGTAAAGGTGCCTACCTCCAAGCTTGACGACCTGAGTTCAAACCCGGAACTCCCAGGGTGGAAGAAGAGGACCAATTCTCACAAGTCACAGGAGCCATGGCACATGCAACAGCCCCTCCCCCAACACCCCGCTAAATAAAAAAAGTAATAATTTTTAGAATAAAAACAAAAACTCCAAAAGTGAATTTTCCCTAAAAGTTTGACGTTCAAATGAAAGCTTTAAAGGAAGGGATGGATGAAAATACCATTTTCTCATTTTACCACTTTATCTTTTCGGTACATCATAGGATTTATAGGGTGTTTTCGTACATTTCTAAGTGTATGTTCTTATTTGATGTTGATGTCAACTTCAGGCCAAGGTGGTTATTATCTCCATTACACAATGATTCTGGAGGATGTATGCTCAGATTCTCGGTGTCTCAACCCAGTGATTGAGTCATCACAACACTCACTGTAAAGTAGGATCAGCAGGTACTTCTGAGATGGGTGGGAGAGTGGATCATGAAGCTCTCTGGACCTCATATTTCTTCTAAAACATACATAGGCTGTGGATGCTTCTGTAGAGATTTACTTATAGGCACTGAAATTTGAATTTTATATTCCAACCCTGTGTTACCAAACAGTCTCCTTTTGATCATTTTCTTCTCCTTCTCCTTCTCCTTCTTAGCATGGTTTTTCAATCATGCTCAGGCCTTAGCTTGCCAACCTCTGTTGTAAAGTGAAGTCATGCATATTTTAAAGCTAGGCATATGTTCTGAGAAATGTGTCACAAGGTGATTTTGTCCTTGTGCGAACATCAGAGAGTATACTTGCCCAGAATATGGCTACAGAGTCACCAGGTAAAGCAGATGTTAGTGTTCCGTGCCAGTAATTAGGAAGCTGAGGCAAGGGGATTGCTGTAAGTCCCATGCCACCCTGAGCTATATAGTGAGTTCCACCCCAATCTGAGCTACAAAATGAGACCGTGTTTCAAAATAAACAGATACTGAGAGATGGCTGGAGTTGGGCTCTCAGCACCCATATCCAGTGGCTTACAACTACCTGTAACCCCAGCACCAAGGGACCTGACGTGTGACTTCTGCAGGCAGCTACACTCAGGTACACAAACCCACAAATGCATAAGCATAAAAATAAATCTTTAAACAAACAAACAAACAAACAAACAAACAAAAAACACCTAGCAGGCGGTGTGGTACACGCCTTCAATCCCAGCACTTGGGAGGCAGGGGCAGGTGGATCTCTGTGAGTTCAAGGCCAGCCTGGTCAACAGAGTTCCAGAACAGCCAGGGCTACACAGTGAGATCCTGTCTCAGAAAACAAAACCAAAACACCCCAAACCCTTAAAACAACCAGAAGCCATGAGGTAACATAACCTTCAGGATTATTGTCATCTATGACCTGTATTGCTGACTGAAGCTTTTTCATGTGGCATAGGTCTGTCCTCCAGCTGGACAGGGTAGAGGCTCAAAGACCCTGCTCGAAAAGAAGCGGGACTCAGGCTAGGGAAATGGCCAAGTAGGTAAAGCTCTTGCCTAGCATCTGGACCCCCATATAGCTGCTGGGTAGGTACGGTGGCCTGCTGGAGACAAAGGATCTTGGAACAAGCTGGCTAGCTAGGTAAGCTGGCAAGCTCTGGCTTCAATGAGAGACCCTGTCCCTGTTAATAAAGTGAAGAACAACTGAGGAAGACACCCAATGTAAAACCTCAGGCCTCTGAATACACAGGCACACACACAATTGTGCTTACACACATGGGAAGGCATATACATGCATACACACCACACACACATCTACTTGCAAAAAGAAAAAGGAAGGGGAGGGGGAGAAGGCAGAGTAGGGAAGGAGGGAAAACAGACAAGTAGTCAGTTGGTTGGGAAAGGAGGATGGGAGCACAGAGCAAGCCTGGGGGCCCAGGCTCAACCCACTGAGCAAAACAGGGAAATTAGTCCAGCCGGGAGGAGGCAACTCTTGATGTGGGTGTTGGGAAATGTATAGGGTTTTCATAGGCGGAGAAGATGTCAAGCATTCCTGAAGGAGAAAAATCCATTGAGCAAAAAGGCCCAGGCTGGAAACTTGTGGGTGGAGTCTGGGCAGGTATGAAATAGGCAGGACTAGAAAGGTAGGTTTGTCACATTGGAAATTCAGATCACTAATGTCTGTTGCACAGAACCTGAATGATGGCATTTCTGGGTTTATTGTGAAAGAGGCCAGCACCTGCTGGCCAAAGAAAACAGCTTTCTACTTTAAACTTGAGACTCAAAGGATAGCAAGGCTATAAAGTACCTGAGGTCCAGAGTCTGAGCACTGCGCTAACCAGGGAACCCGTGTTGTTGATGTGGGTACAGCCGTGTCAAGGACCTTGATGCCTTAGCCCATGGAAATGTCAAAGCCTTCCCCAGATGAGGCTTATAGGGATGGCAAAGGCACAACACACACACACACACACACACACACACACACACACACACACACACACACACACGATCCAAGTGTTTACTGCGGGTATGACTTGCTGTGTGACTCAGCCTTCCTCTGGTGCAAGTACAAGTGTTTACTAAGGATTAACCGGTGTCTGTAACAACAAAAAGCCACAAGATAGTATCGCCTTGAGACAAAGCTTCCTCTTCTCTGCTGTTTGTAGCCTAAGACTGCTCTCCTACGGAGACCTCCCATGAGATACGCTGACCAGTCCTTGTGCCCTACAAAATAAACACTCCCGGTTTCCGCTTGCATTGTAGTGAGCACAGCCCACCCCATCCTGGCTCCCCTTCTGTGTCTGTCTGTCATTTCTTCATTCACACACCACCACAGCCTCGTTTCCAGACCCAGCAAACCCCTAGAGTGGTTTAGGATGATGACCAGGGGCTGGAGAGATGGCTCAGAGGTTAAGAGCACTGGCTGCTCTTGCAGAGAACCCGAGTTTGGTTCCTATCACCCTGTAGAGTAGCAGCTCACAACACCAGCTCCTCCCTCCCTCTCTCCCTCCCTCCCTCCCTCCCTCCCTCTCTCTCTCTCTCTCTCTCTCTCTCTCCCTCTCCCCCTCCCAAGTGTTTACTGCAGATCATCAGCAAGCCCTTAGAGCTTGTGGTTACTCAGTCATCTGCTGTCCGTCACTTCTATCTGTCCAACAACTCAGTTGAGAAGCTCTTCTGCTGCCCACTGGTACATGCCTTTAAGCCCAGCCCTGGGGAAATAGGGGCAAGGAGAATTCACTGGACTGATTGCCCCAAATTTGTCATCTGTCCCTTTTTTTTTTAATCATGTGTTTTCCCTAATCCCTCAGCATAATTCAGTTCTCCACAGCATTTCTAAGATCTCTGTGAATGTTCATGTAAATTTGTACCTTCACCTCCTATCCTAAAGCTAGCTCCATTTCTCTTTTCCCCTCCCCTCTCCTTCCCTCTCCTCCCCTTCTCCTCTCCCCTCCTCCCCCCTCCTTCCTATCTTTCCAGGCAGGGTTTCTCTGTGTAGCCTTGGGTGTCCTGGAACTCGCTCTGTAGACCAGGCTGGCCTCGGAACTCAAAAGACCCACCTACCTCTGCCCGCTGAGTGCTGGGGTTAAAGGTGTGCGCCCCCACTGCCTGCCTTCTGCTTCTTAATTTAAATACGTAATCTTACACCATCATACCTTCCTGTGCTCCCCACCACCAGGTCAGAAAGGTTGCCTGGACTTCACCCTTCTGGGAATTATTCTATAGTAGCTCCTGGGGCTGGGGATGTGTCTCGGTGGATAAAGTGTTTGCCTAGCAAGCAGGATGCCCTGGGTTCAATCCCCAGGGTTGCATAAAACTGAGGTGGTACATGCCTTTAAGCCCAGCCCTGGGGAGGTAGGGGCAAGGAGATCAGATGTTCATAGCCAGTTCAAGGCTAGCCTGTGCTACTTGAGACCCTGTCTTAAAGAGTAGAGGCTGGCATTTTGGCATGCACTGCCTCTTGGATACACATGCCTCCTCCCCCGGCTGTTTTTCTGCAAGTCTTTTTTAAGGTGGAATTATTCAGACAGCAAAAGCCATCATATTTTTGGCTGCTCATGGGCGGTGTCAAAATTTAATTTCTGAAAAACATCCCATTCCTCTTGAAGTAATGTTCTTATAAAGGCTGTTCCTGTAATCTCCCCCAATGCCTCTGAGGCAGTGTCTAAATCTGAGTACACGTGTCCTCAACCCAACATTCCCTGTCCTTCTCATTGTTAATAGGTCCTTCAAGGTGGGTCCTGCCATGACGTCCAGGCTGTCCTTAAACTCCAGGCAGTCCTCTGCCTCCGCTTCTTGAGATTATAAGGAATGCCACCATACCCAGCTACTCACTCACTCTCTCTCTCTCTCTCTCTCTCTCTCTCTCTCTCTCTCTCTCTCTCTTCCTCTCTCTTTTGACACAGGGTCTTACTAAGTAGCCTTGATTGGCCTTGAACTCACAGAGATCTGCCTGCCTCTTCCTTACTGAGTGCTGGGATGAAAGGTGAGAGCCACCATGCCCAATTTAGATTCTTTTATCTTTTGTTTTGTTTTGTTTTATTTGAGACAGGGTTTCTCTGTGTAGTCTTGGCTGTCCTGGAACTCAAGCATTCTTTTATCTTGAGGGTGACAAAATATTACACTACCCAAACTAAATCCAAAGTGGCAAGTCCCCTCTAGTGTCCCTTCATCCTTCTGGATAACATAAACAGCAAAAAAAAAAAAAAAAAAAGCGATGCTTTCTGCTGATAGAGAAGTCCCACTGTTTGCACAGATGGAACCTTTTCTTGCCTTTGTGATGGTTTTGTGAACAAGGATAACAGAAGATAAATTAATGGAGGAACGGAGGCATGGATAAGGCTAAGGGGGGGCAACAGGAGATGCTGAGGTAGCAAGGGCCCAGCTTCAACCTGAGTTTTCACTCCAGACCCAGAGAGGGGAAGGAGCCATCTCCAAAACCCAGAAAGGGTTTGTGTTGGTTTGCTGGGGTCTCTAGATCAAGCCACTGTCATGGTATCAACAGCAGAAATTCCGGAAGCTAGAAGCTTGGGATGCGGGTGCTGACAGGCTTGGTTCCTCCCGAGGGCTGGGAAGGAGAATCTCTCAGCCCCTTTCCTTGCCTGGTAGGTGGCCATCTCCTCCTTGGGTCTCAATCCATAACAAAGTTGTAGTAGTAAGGAAGGGCCTCAGATAACGAAACAGTCCTTGCAGAAGTGAAGATACCCTGAAGACACACTTGTGGGGATGTAGCCCGGTACTTTCCCAGTATACACAAAGCTCTGGGTTTTATCTCCATAAACCTGGTGTGGTGGCGCGTGCCTGTAATCCCAGCACTTAGAGGTAGTAGGGGAAGGAGGATCAGAAGTTTAAGGTCATTATCAGCTACAAAGCACATTGGAGATCAACTTGGGCTACCTGAAAGCCTGTGAGTGGGTGTGGGTGTGGGTAGAGAGAGAGCTGCTCTGTGCCCCCGCCTTGGGCCATCACATTACTGAAACAATGGTCCCCAAGGAACTGGAATTTCCCCCAGCAATCTTATCCTGAGAGAAAGAAAAGGCTGAAGAAGCCTGGCACCAGCTAGAGGGAACTTGTCTCCCAGGAAGACATTTTCACAGGGTCCTGACAACTTGCCGGAGACTGGAGCCCGGAGAGCACCTGGTCAGTGACGGGCAGGGCCACACTTTGACCAAGACGGCTTAGCTAAGCATACCTCATGACCTCCATTAAACCTGAACCTCACATCAGGACCCCAAAGATGGACTCAGGGTCACGGGGCCTCTTATCTCAGTGTGGCCACGATGAGGAAATCTTTCTCTGCTTTTCACTGGCTTAACTCTTTGGCTGGCTGTTGTGGCTGGGTGGCTGAGACTGGCTTGTTGCGGCTGCCAGTGCCCAGTCTCTGCTCTGACGACCCCAGTAACAATAACAGCTGTGCCCTTTGATAGACACAGCAGGGAAATAAACACCCAATATCCTTCTCCTCTCATGATCTCAGACAGTGGCTCCCACTGCCAAACCCACAGTACCCTAGTTATGAAGTCCTCCAGGGCAACCTCCCAGGCCCAGCAGGGTGGAGGAGAGCAGAGAGTAGCCAAGTGGAGACTAGCCAGTCCAGCCTGTCTAGGAGGTGGCTACACCCAGAGCAATTCATGGATTCTCCGAGGCAGGTGAGTCTGTAGAGCGCCGAGCACAGAAATTGCCTGGATCTGATCCCCTTTCTGTTTCGTTCTATCAGAGCCCAGCTTGGTAAGGACAATGAGCTTGGGTGAAGGGTTGGTAGGAAGAAGGAGAAGATGGAGTGGGTGGGTTGGGACTGGAGGAGAGAAGGGGGTGAGGAGGCTGCAGGCTATGGTGTCCCCAAGTGCCTCAGAGAGGCAGTAGAGGGCGTTGCCCAGTGACCTGAGCTGAACACACCCAGCTCTTGGGTTTTTTTTTTTTAGGTTGGGAATGATGCCTGCCTGGGAAGAGCCACGTGGAGGATTTGGTTCTGCAACAGAGTTACTCCTGCACCATGGAAGCCGGCTGCAGATGGAAAGGTACACCTGTTGGCAAATTGTCACCAGTAGGCAGGCAGAATGCGGCGCGGTGGCCTGTTCTCTCCGTTCTTTGAAGTTCTAGACTGTTGTCTTTTTGGGTGTCCACGGCATGAATGATGGGTTGACTCAACTCAAGTCTCAGAGTCACAATTCTGTCCCCCTCAGAGCGGGCCACAGACAACAGGAGGTGGACTCTGCACTATACTTCATTAGCCGGATCCTGGCCACGTTCAAGCCAATTAGCATGAATGGGTTTTCGGTTAGCCTGTGTTACAGACCTGTAATTCCAGCTAAGGGAGAGGCTGAGGCAGGAGGGCTCCAAGTTCGAGGCCAGCCTGGGAAACTTGGAGAGACCCTGTCTTAAAAGTGAGGGTGGAAAAGGCTGACATCAAGGCAGGCTCTGTGGTACCGCACTTGCCTGGCATGGGAGGTCCAAGGTTCCAATACAACTCTTACAGGAGAAATGGGGCTTCACTAGGGAGAGGAGCTGCTTGGTGATCTGTATAGTGGGTGTTAGAAAAGGGCTATCATGGGGCTGGCAAGAGGGCTCAGTAGGTAAAGGTGCTTGCTGCCAAGCCTGGTGACCTGAGTTCAGTCCTGAGAACCCACATGGTGGAAGGAGAGAACCATCTCCCAAAATGGTCCTTTGAGCCCCGCTCATACACTGTGGTGTGTGCCCCCTCAATAAATAAATTATTTTAAAGTAACGGGCGGTGGTGGCGCACGCCTTTAATCCCAGCGCTCGGGAGGCAGAGGCAGGCGGATCTCTGTTTGATAACTCACATCACAGACTCATGTCCTAGAGGGGTGTGCCATCAATTTCCACTCCTCTAGAGCTCTTATTTTTTCTCCCTCCTCTTTCTCCTTTTCAATTGGCATTTTAAGACTGGTGAAATTGCCGGGCAGTGGTGGGCGCACGCCTTTAATCCCAGCACTCAGGAGGGAGAGGCAGTCGGATCTTGGTGAGTTCGAGGCCAGCCTGGTCTATTGAGAGAGTTCCAGGGCGGACGGCCAGAGACACACAGAGAAACCCCGTCTGGAGAAAACAGCAACAGCAAAAGGCTGGTGAGGTGGCTCTGTGGCTGTTGGTGTTCCCCGCCATGCCTAACGACCTGTTCAATTCCCAGAGCCCATATGGTGGAGAGAACCGGCTCCTGCAGTTGTTCTCCGACCCTTCCTCTCACACCATGGCACATGTGCCCTCCTCAAGGGGCACACACAGATGAATTCGTTCACAGAATGAACTACTGCAATTCAAATTTTTTTAAATTTACTTTGCATTTTTTTTTAAAGCAGTGAATCTACTTCTTTTTTTTTTTTCTTTTCTTTCTTTTTTTTTTTTTTTTGGTTTTTCGAGACAGGGTTTCTCCGTGTAGCTTTGCGCCTTTCCTGGAACTCACTTGGTAGCCCAGGCTGGCCTCGAACTCACAGAGATCCGCCTGGCTCTGCCTCCCGAGTGCTGGGATTAAAGGCCTGCGCCACCACCGCCCGGCTGTGAATCTACTTCTTAAAACAAATGCTTGGAACCCAGGGATGCTGCTCATCGGTATAGGTTGGCTTAACATGTGTAAAGACCTGGGTTTGATCCCAGCACTGAACCACAAAAAAAAAGTTCAGGACCATGGAAAGTATTGTCACTCATAACTGGGAGCTAAGGAGATGCAGCTTGCTTCCTGGCCAGTTACTCCCCAGCCAAGAGTGAAGAGCAAATCTCCCCATCAGGAAACAGGAACAGCGAAGAGGTCCTCGGCCAGTCCCACAGAGTTCACAGATGGGCCTTTGAATTTAAAATATTTATTTTACTTTTTTTTTTTTTTTTTTGAGACAGGGTTTCTCTGTGTAGCTTTAGAGCCTGTCCTGGAATGTAGCCCAGGCTGGCCTCGAACTCTTGAGGCAGAAGCAGGCAGGCAGATTTCTGTGAGTTTGATACCAGCCTGGTTTACATAGTGAGTTCCAGGTCAGCTAGGGCTACATAGTGAGACCCTTTATAAATAAATAGACACACACACACACACACACACAAACACACACATACACACACATATTTGTATATATATAAATAACATATATATATATATATGTATATATACAGGTCTTTTTGCCTTAATTCCAAGAATGAATGTACACTTTTAGATAAATTATAAATAACAAGAAGTGAGCTCGCCAGACACAGGTCTGTGTTAACGCTCAGTGTGTGCAAGGTGCCACATTGACTTGAACAATTGGACCGAAGACCCAGTCTCTGCCCTGTGCTCTGAGAAGTGCCTGCACCAGCCGGACTCTGCCTCTGCCCTGGAGATGGGGCCCCACGGTCAGCCTTCGTTTCTTGTGTAGGCTCAGGGTCACGATCAAGTCAATTTAGGATGTACACAGAGATGTCCAACACGGCCGTGGATTCGGGCTCTGGTTCCTACCTGTCATGCAATGTTGGGTTTATTTTTCTTTCTGACTTTCTTTCTGCCTTGTGTCAAACGCTTATAATCCAGGCATTGGACGAAGGGCTGTGAGCAGCTGAGAAGAAAAACTCTTTGGCACGTCTTTAATCCCAGCACTCGGGAGGCAGAGGCAGGTGGCTCTCTGAGTTCGAGGCCAGCCTGGTCTCCAAAGCGAGTTCAGGACAGCCAGGGCTACACGGAGAAACCCTGTCTGGAAAAGTCAAAAAAGAAAAACACCATGGTTGACTCTGTGCTCCCCGGGAGGTGGCCTTTCTGTAATAATTGCCTTTTTCCAAACACTGCTGCTCGATGTTCAAACGACCTTATGGGATCGATGCTGCCACTGTCATCTGTATTTGACAAATGAGAAACTGGGGCACAGTGAAGGTCACAGGAGCTCAACAAGGCAGGGCTGGAATATAGACAGTTGTGGTTTGGGAACAATACTCCTTTTTTTTTTTTCCAGAGCTGAGGACCGAACCCAGGGCCTTGAGCTTGCTAGGCAAGCGCTCTACCACTGAGCTAAATCCCCAACCCCCAATATTCTTTTTTTAAATGTTTGTTTGTACGTGTGTGTTCAGAGGGCAGTTTATGAGAGTCAGTTGTCTTTGTCCACCACGTGGGTCCTAGGGATTGAACTCATCTTCAGGTTTAACAGCAGGCTTCTTCACCCACTGGACCACCTTGCCAGCCCCCATCCCAGTTCCCTTAGGACTCCATCCAGGTAATATGCCCCAAGTCACACTCAGCCCAAACCCATTTCAATGACTCTCGGCTGACAACTCCCAGAGACCCTTGTAGAATTGGGTCAAAAATCCATGACTAGAAACCACTGGACTTGCAAACAGAATTTACCCAGTCACCACAACTCCTCATTTTCCTGATCCAGTCACCAGCCTTGTGTTCCTGAGCTGAGCTGTCTTGGCTTTTCCAGCATCCTAGAAGGAACAGCACCGTAGTGCCCAGGCGCTGCACTTTGTTCACACAGGAGGCCCTCGGTGAGCATCGGGGAGATGGCAGGAGAGGGTAGGGATGCTGCGGTGTGCATGGGGCGGGCCACGGGGAGGAGACATACAGGCACCTGTACGCTTATTTAGGGTGAGGGATGGCTCAGTCAGTAACATGCTTGCCTTCTAAGCAGAAGGATCTGTGTTCATTCCCCAGAAACCATTCTTTTTTTCAAGGTTGAAGAGATAACTCAGTGGTTAAGAGGGTGGCGCACGCCTTTAATCCCAGCACTCAGGAGGCAGAGGCAGGCGGATCTCTATGTAGGCCAGCCTGGTCTACAGAGCTAGTTCCAGGATAGCCAAGGCTACACAGAGAAACCCTGTTTGTAAAAACAAAATCAAGAGTGTGGCTTTTCTTCCAGGAGACCCGGAGCACCCATACCTCTGCTCACAACCACCTGTAACTCCAGTTCTAGGGAATCCAATGCCCTCTTCTGGCCTCCATGGGCACCAGGCACACATGTGGTGCATAGACATGCATGCAGCCAAAAGACCCATACACATAAAATAATAATAAGAGTAAGAAAAAGGAAGGGAGGGAAGGAGGGAGGGAAAAGGAGGAGGAGGAGAAGAGGGAAGAAGAAAGCTTGGAAGTGATACTTGTAATCCCAGCTCTAGGGAGGCACAGACTAGTGGATCCTGGGACCCACTGGCCAGCCAGCCTCACCTACTTTATGAGTTCTAGGCCAGTGAGAAAGTCTGTCTCCAACAAATAAGGTGGCAGCCACCTGTGTCCAGAGGTGTCAAAGGCATCTTTTCCCAAAGGGAGCAGTCACCCAGAGTGACACTCTAATAGCTGGAGTCCAACGTGGGTATAGATTCTTACAGTGACATTTGGGCACAGTCCGGTCTGAGACTCTTCCTCTGTATAAAGGGATCGTCACCCCCATCCCAGTGACAGGCAGTGAGCAATGAGCATACGAGGTGTGTGTATAGAGTCTATCCTATCCTGTGCAAACAGGATCATCTTTAGTGCCAACCCTCCCCCACCCCCTTCGGTAACACAACCCTTCCCTCTTACCTGCCCAGAAATTTGCATATTGGACTCACCTTGAACTCCTGCTGTGGCAGACACTTAACAATGGATCAAATGGCAGAGTTGAGAGGCCTCGGGTAGAAGCCAGGGCTGTTTGCTCCTTAGAAGACTGGGGAGCAACCACCCTAACTCACTGGAATTCTGTACACATTGTACTCAGTTTTAGAAAGTGTTTAGACCAGAGCTGGCATGTGGCAAAGGATCAGCAAATAAGGGTCATTGTTTTGGCCTGCTGGAAGCCACTAGTGAAAACACAGCATTATGTTCCTTGGGAGAGAAGGGCACAGGGTAACTAATGGACCAGTAGAGTGGGGTCTTTTCAGACCCTCTGTCGTGTGCATCCTTTTTTTTTTTTTTTTTTTTTTGGTTTTTCGAGACAGGGTTTCTCTGTGTAGCTTTGCACCTTTCCTGGAACTTGCTTTGTAGACCAGGCCGGCCTGGAACTCACAGAAATCCGCCTGCCTCTGCCTCTCAAGTGCTAGGATTAAAGGGGTGCGCCACCACCGCCCGGCTGTGTGCATC